GAAATGGCTACTTCTGGAATTTATGTCCGATTTCCGAAATTTGAATGTGAATTCCGTTTTTTTTTTTCTGGAAGTTTTTTTTTTAATTTCACCAGAATTTTCTCAATTTATTTCTTGGAAGGATGTTTTTCCGACTTTTCTCAAAACTTTCCTCAAATTTCCTCCAGGATAGCTTATTTCTTCTTTCTCTGGATGTTGTTTTCAGCTTCCTCCAGAAGCTAATTTAAACATTCCCCGGAGTTTTCTTCCAGAATTTTCTGATCATAGTCCAAAAGTAAAAAAAAATCGCTTTTAAGAACGGCAAAAATATAAAAATAATTTAAATAGTAAATACCGATAAATACCGATTTTTTAAAACCTTTGATGCCGATAAGCTTTAAAACATTCTGGCAACGCTGGTCCACGGCTAGGGTCAGATCACTTGAGGTGCATTTATTATAACAAAACAAATTAAATGCATTTTCACAGTGCATTTTTTGCTGTGTGTAGCTTTAAGTGACACCTCCCACCAATACATGAAGGTAGAGTCGGTGTATAATGAGTCACGCCAAGAGTGAAGCCAAGTCTACCTATTGAACTGTCAAACTGGCTACCTATCGTGCAAAATAAATAAACATTACGATGCTATGAAAGCTACACGAAAGGTATTGAAATAAAATATAAAATTTAATCGAAGAAATGACCATAAACACGCAGTGAGAATTTAAATTGTAATTAGATTCGTATGGTAATGATCAGTAATGAGAATTTGTAATATACGTTGCTGATTTAATCCGACAAAATCACTAATATAATAATTTACTGCAGTCGGTAATTTAATTTCTCGCTAGAAGTCATTTGAAGTTGATGCACAAGTCCTCTGTTGCCAAGTGAAAGGGAAGGGAATCTCTCAAAAACCGTGATGCGAGTTCCACTGTTTTTCTCTTGGCGTGACTCATTATACACCTAGAGTCGGTGGTTAGCGATAGGTAAGATGTATTTGAATATTGTCTGATATATTTCATGGTGAAAAACTGTTGATATGTCATGGGAGAGAACAGAAATCTAGAAACTAATGGAAAATCATATAAGTTTGCACTATGAGAAAATTCAGTAAAATATACCTGTTTTCATGATGAATATTGCTCACTAAAAGATATATCTTATAAGATAATCATGTATATTTTATTGGAATTGCTTTTAACGACTTTTGACGTTTTTTGATATGTCGCGTGTTAACATCCATGTAGAAACTATTGGACAGTCATTTAAGTTTGCAGTATAGTAAAACATGTATATCTCATTGGAATAGCTTCCTTTGATTTTTGAGGTTTAATGATTGTAAACAAATCTATCCCAATCATTATATAGTCATATTGATTTGCCTTTTAAGAAATCCAACAGCAAACATTTGTTTTGTCATGGTTTTCTGGGATGAATATCGCTCCCAATTAAATACATCTTACATGATTGTTCTTCATAAATTATTGAAACAATTTTCAACGATGTTATCGTACACTCATTAAAATGATTAGTTGAACTAAATATTGCTAACGACAATGATACTGCATAGAATAATCTTTGTTTGTTATTGTTCCAATTAGATAAGGAGTTGCGGAAAAGAATGTATTGAGATCAAAAAAAAAAAATGATTCTACTGCAATATTTACTTTGCTAAGATTCTAATTGTAAGCCTTCTACACGGCTAATTCAGATTCCAGCACTAGTACCCGAACTTCATGAACCAGTTCCATGAACTCATATAATGTAGTCGTTGTTTTATTGCACACAGGAGCATTAAGAAAGATTTGAATACACGAAACCACCGAAACGGAGCATAAATTTGTTATTTTTCTTCACTCTAGCAAAACGAGCATAACGTTGCACTACATTCCATGTCGGGAGAGCTGTTCTTACTTCGTGCTAATTGAACGAGCTCAATATTGAAATCAGCCGTGGCCCAGTGGAATCGAGCGCAGACACCGAATGCATTCACACCTCAACAGTTCTGGATCGAATCCCAAATCAGCTACAATAAAAAAAAGACAACTGTGAAAGGTCCCATATTGCCTGATGTTTATTTTTCGATTTATTTTTAGAAATCGATTAAATATATGTGTCAAAAAAGAAGTAAATTTCATGTGATTATCACATAAACTTTACTTAGATTGATTTGTTACACATATATTATATTGTGGTAAAAAGTAAAGCTTATGCTTATGGGTTTCAAATCCATTTCAGTTCATTATTATGATTTGACCGATTTTCATTTATCATATGACGATCATATAAAACCGAGTATAAAACTTACCAAATTATCAGCATTGAAAATGTATCAGATATTCATATAGAATTTACCTGACACATTTTCAATCATATCATTTTCAATGGATTATCTTATAGCGCAAATTTATAAGATTTCCACATAACAGGAATATGTCATATTGGTTCAGTGTGGTCTTAGAGTTACCTCTATGCTTGTATTGCTTTTGTATAGTTTATAGTGCTCATAATTATTATACAAATAATGCTCATCCTCATAGTTTGTCATCCAAGCGTATCCGCGGCATTACCAACATTGTTTATAATCCCACCTTAACTTTAACTGAAATGGTTTTGAAACCTTACATGAACGTTTGTGTGATAAAGTTTTAACCTTATGTATTATGGTTTTTAGGAAGCGGACCTTACAAATAATGGGTTGTTAAGAACCATTACCATTTCAAATTCTTGTTTTCTTCATACATTTTCAGAAAGAGAACTATCCAGCTTTCCATGCTCGGTAATGGCGGCCCGTTTGTATGAATAAATGTATCCTTCACTGTGCTTTTTGACACTAACTGGAGGGCGTATGTTGTTTCATTTTCTTCTGTTACTGGGAGAGGGAAAGGGAGTGGTCAAAATCCGAACCTCCAGAAAGCACAGTGAAGGATACATTTATTAATACAAGCAGGCCGCCATTACCGAGCATGGAAAGCTGGATATTAGAACGTTTTTACTTATGGTTTGAGAACATTAATGGTTATGGTTATGGTAGTCAGTAAGGCCCATGCATGGTTTTGTAACATCGATCAATTTTATGTGGAATATATCGCGAACTAGTTGCCTGTAAATTAATAATTATCAGTTCACGATTTATTCCACGTAAAGTTGAGCGATAGTACAAAATGATTAATGGACCTTACTGACTACCATAACCATAATCATTAATGTTCTCAAACCATAAGTAAAAACGTTCTAATATAGTTCTCTTTCCGAAAATGTATGGAGAAAACAAGAATTTGGAATGGTAATGGTTCTTAACGACCCATTATTTGTAAGGTCCGCTTCCTAAAAACCATAATACATAAGGTTAAAACTTTATCACACACACGTTCATGTAAGGTTCCAAAACCATTTCAGTTAAAGTTTAGGAGGGATTATAAACAATTTATCTCGCAATTTATAACCATTGTCGGTAAGGTCAAGTGATGGTTTGCGTTTATGCGGGTTGACTTTCAAGACATCATCGAAAAAAGGCATTGTTTACAAAAGCTGTTACGCCCTAATTCCAGCTCTATCTTGAATTTGGGTTATCGTTGTTTTTTTTATATTGAGTGACTTTCGATTCGAAAGCTAACCACTTTCTATGAAAAAGAGAGACGACATGGCAAAACTGGAGCAATCGATTATCGGTCAAAGTCATAGGAAAATTTATTCCAATCGAACAGAACACCTGTCAAATGGATAAAATCAGTGCCAGCATTATAAAGGGACTTAATTGCTTTTGTAAACAATGGATGTAGCCGTCGATTTCTCGCAAATAAAAGCTCACCCCTCCAAATTAACAATGCTAGTTGGTAGAGGAAACATTCCTCTATACCTGTAGGTGTAATTCATTTTCATTTGTGAGCTTTTATTTGCGAGAAATCGACGGCTAAAGCCATTGTTTACAAATGCAATTACGCCCCTTTGAAATGTTGGCACTGAAATGTCACCTCTTCACCCAATTGGCGTTGACGGCGACTCTGTAGCTCTTTACTCCTATGAGAAAATCCATAAGCAAACGTCAGACTGTGCGTGAAACATGGCGGACTTTGTACTATCCTCTCACTCCACAGAAAATTCCCATAAGAAACTGTCTACACTCATAAAATTCGACACATTTTTATTGGCGAATTTCTATGTAAAATTCCACATGATTTTCATGTGTCCACACATAAACTGAATCCACTCAGAAGTACACATGAAATTTATGAGTCAAATGAATACTATGTGTGGCTACACATGAATTTTATGTGTACACATAAAAACTATGTGTCCGACACATTATATCATTTGTTTATCACATTGCAAAAATTCATGTGTGGGACACATAAAATTAATCATTGATTTGTTATTAGTGTATATTTGCTGAAAGAGCAAATTTTTCGACGGTGCCGCCCTAATAAAAAATAACCATAAACGAATGATAACCCAAATCATTGAACTATTCCATAAATGGTTTGGATGATACCCAGAACACGTCGTTAAGCAAATTAACCATACAATTTTTACTAGGGCGTCAACGCCAATTCAGCATAGAGGTAACTCTAAGACCACTGGGTCCCGAAGAAAATCATTATTATTTTTGGCTCACTCAGTACCAGAACAACGGTCCCAAGCAGTCCCAAGCTATTTCACTCACCCCTGCATGTTCTGCATGAATCCACACACCCCTGATGTTATCTGTCAAACTTTCATAGCGAATCAAAACAAACATAGTGTAGTAATAGAATTTCAACTAGAATAGGGTACGTTAATCGTTTGCTTGGGACCAATAGGCTACTAAAGTGGTGAGCCAATGGAGCCAATTTAAAATCGTTAGTTTCGTATTGATTGTTGAATTCAGTCTCTTTATTGCGGCCCTGCCGAAAAAGGGGGCATTTTGTAGTTGGATTCTGAAAGTGCCAAAAACAATATTAATCTGATTTTACAGTGTACGTATACGCTCCGCGAGCTGTCAAACGTCAAAACGGTCCAAAACGCTAAAACAGCAGCCAGTCAAGCAGCAGCCATCATCATCCAGCAGCGCGCACGGTAAACTCTGAATCGAAACAATCCATTTGAAATCGAAGCTGAACTTTTTCGCTTCGAGCCGAAGATATACTGGTGCTCGGATTCTCATCGTTTCTGAAGAACGAAGGATTCCTAGTGGTGGTAAGTGGCGAAAGTCCGTCCGCAGAAAAATTTGGTCTGGTGGCATCCGAGCTTCTTCCGCAAACAAGATGGATGCAATGAGCCTCAGCTTGGATGACATTATTAAGAAAAAATCCATTGGTAAGCGGCCAAAACCGGGCGGTGGTGCCGGGAAGAAAGTTACCAAAGTGGGCAGGAATGGAGCCGGTTTCGGTGGTGACCGTTCGCGACCAGGTAGGAAGTTGCTGGGAAGTCCGAACGGTCGTCGTAAGGGAGTAGCAGCAGCAGTAGTAGGAGGAGGTATCAAGTCCCGGGTGGGTATTATCAACCAGCCAAGGGTAGTTGTCGATGCCCGAATGAAGATCATCCAGAAGAAGCGGGCTCAGATTCGGGATGCTCGCGATAAGCTGGTGGAGATTGCTAGGAATAGTGGGGATGCCCGTTTGAGGCTGCTTAAGCGCAAGGGAAAGGTTCCGCCGGGGAATGGAATTCTGAAGAAGCGCAGTGGTAGTACACCTGCTACAAGTGGTGAGTAAATTTTGTTTGATGTGACGGATAAGGGTTGGTTTTTAACTGGGTTTGTGTTGTTGTAGGAAAACCATACGTAGACGAGATGGACGTCGATTACGATATGGAAGTGGCTATTCGTCGTCCGATTGGACCGCTGAAGCGAACGGTTCGGAACGAGATGTTCACCGTGCCCAGTACGATGCCACCGTTGCCAACATTCAGCCGGAATGTCCGTAATTCACCTCCCCCTACAACGTCGTCCTCGTCGTGGAATACTGATCCGTTTGATTGCTACGAAGTGCACACCACCCGACCGGTCATGTCGAAAGCACCTCCACCACCGGCACCGATTCCACGTTACGATGATATTCCACCGAGACGGGGAAATGCTCGTGCTCGATCGCCACCACCTCATCCGATGTACGCCGAAGATCGACCACACCTTTCGTCGACGATGCGAGCTCGACTCGAGCGTGCCCCCAATCCTAACGAATCCATGGGAATCTTCGCCAAGATGCCACCGGAGGACCACCACCACAGCGGCAGCAGCAGCAGTAGCAGTCGTCATCATCATCACCACCATCATCAGCAGCCATTGTCTCCTTCCCCGTCGCCGCCGATTACCGGTTATAGGATTGTCGTTAGCAACTTGCATCCCAGTGTGACGCAAAATGACATCAAGGTTTGTGTGCCTACCTATTGAATGCTGTAAGCATGTTAAAGTATCCTTCCTGCAGGAGCTGTTTGAAGATATTGGCGATTTGCTTGAATCGCGCCTCGTACGTCCAGGAGTGGCCGAAGTCATCTACCGCACCCTCAAGGATGCTGAGGAAGCCGTCGATACTTACCACAACCGGCAGCTGGACGGCCAACCGATGAAATGCTTGCTGGTGAAACCACGGGCCTCGAATAAACCAACCGCGCCGGCCATCAGCTACTCGAGGTGAATAATTAAGCTCGGTGTACGCCCGCATCAATACAACCCAATAAATGACACGCAAATTCGATATTTTCTCTCTCTCTCTCTCTCTTTCTCCATCGCCAACAGCTCGTCAAGATCCCTCAAGTCCACCTCACTCTCGTCGTCTGGGGCCAAGAAATCGCACGTCGAGATTGATATCGACGCTCTGCATACGGTTCTGTTCAGAAGAGACCACTAGACAATTTCCCCCCTTCCCCATCGTCCCCGCACACAGCACACAGAAATGAACGAACACTGGCTCCCATATCTACACAAACAATACAAACACACGCCCAAAAAATAGTCAAAAATTGGCATCAGTACCCGCGCTGCCGTAAGTGTTAAATATAGCTTCTATTTGCTTTCCTAGTGGATTTCCGTTGCAAATACAATCTCATTCAAAAATGTGTTCGATAAGCTTTCGTTCGAGTGGCCTATCTTTTCCGTTCCAAATCTGAGAGACTGCCGGGTTCAAATTTTGCTAAATTGGAAGCAGTATCTATTAATGGACGAGGAAGTCTCCCTCGACAGTACATTTAATTATTAAAGTCATTGTAATTTACTGGATAAGAGTAATTCTACAATCTAAGGCGTTTTAAAAGCTATTAATTGTAAGGCCACGCAGTATGGTAAACTAGGAATACCTAAATACTTACCATACAACAAGAAGCAAACAGACAGACATTGAATAAAAACGGTGTAAAAATGAAAAGTAGTTTTTTTTTGGTTATCACAGTTCACTTGAGTCACGACACGGTATTACCAAGCCGGGGGCGGTAGGTTCAATTCTTTTGTTGGGTTGGAAACGTACTCGACTTCCCTGGGCATAGAGCATCATTGTGTTTGCCACACAATATACAAATTCATGCATTGGTTTTTTTTTATATAATGCGTTTATTTTTCCAGCCTCATTTGCTGTAGCTTTGCGGAGCCGATATTCATTGTTTAGATTACAAAATTACTTAAACTAACGTTAGTAAAGCGGGGACCGATTACTTGCGGCTATCTCGAGGTTAGGGGTAACAAATTGTATCAAATGGATGGCAGGGTAGGGATTGTGAAAACAAGGTTTGGAGAGCAAAGTGCTCTTGATCTCGAACTAAGCGACACTCTGATGAAAAGACAAACATGGGCACTAACTACTAAATCCTCAGATCTATCCGTTTTAAAAACACATAAATTAAATTCAAATAGTCGTGGAGACAAGACATCTCTAACGGGTATCGCGGGTTGTTTTCCTCGGGCCCTGAGGGATGTGGATAACTCAGATCTGGCAACATGGTGAAAGGTACATGACCAAACAATATGCTCGATATCGTGATAACCACTGCCACACGCACATAAATTGCTGCCTGAGAGCCCAATTCGATGGAAGTACGAGTCTAACGAGCAGTGATTGGACATAAGCCTTGATATAACGCGTATAAAGTCGCGGCTCAAGTCCAACCCTTTGAACCATGGTTTGTTCGACACCTGTGGGAGAATAGATAGAATAGAATAGAATCTTCCCAATTCACCATCATTCCATTTTTGTTGCCAACGGATGAGGACTTGCTGACGAGCAATGGAGAAAAATTTGTAGAAGGCGATCTGTCGCTCAAAAATATCGCCTTCCATAGTGCCCACCTTAGCCAACGAGTCCGCTTTCTCATTACCCGGAATTGAGCAATGAGATGGGACCCAAGCTAAGGTGATAGTATAGGAGCAGTTATATAAAGCACTCAGTTTAGATCGTATTTCAGGCAGGAAATACGAGGATTGCTTGAAATAATGGTCAGTTTATAGGAGGCGCTATGAAATTGATTAAATACACCAAACCCAGTGGAAGCATTTATGGTTAACCAATCTGTGAAAAAACTTTGGTACTTGAGGGAACAACCATCGACCGATGGTGATCTGGTATTCCATGGATTTCTTGCATCATGGTCAGATGAAAATTTTCAGAGGAACTATAGAAGGCTAGAAAGCAATCACGATTGGAGATTAATGAAGAAGGACCAACCTCCAGCGTCATGTACTCATAGTACAAACTCATGAATCTTGTTTGAGGATTTCGGTCGAGCAGCTTCTAAAAGTTTTCTATTACCAATGGGTTCATTACTTCACAACGGATGAGAAACCGGAAAGACAGCTCAGTGAAACAATCTGTCAGTGGGAGAACACCCGCGAGTACTTCGAGGCTCATGGTATGAGTCGAGTGCATACAGCCTAGCGCAATACGAAGGCAACGGTATTGAATCCGTTGCAGCTTCAGGATGTGTGTTTTTGCTGCGGATTGGAAGCAGAAGCTGCCGTACTCTAAAACCGAAAGGATGGTTGTTCGGTACAACCTGATCAGATCTTCCGGGTGGGCTCCCCACTAAGTTCCGGTAATTGTACGCAGAAAATTAATCCTTTGCTGGCATTTTTGTTTCAGATACGCAATATGTTTTCCCCATGTGCTTTTGGAATCGAACCAGACACCTAAATACTTGAAAGATATACTTTGAGTGATTGTTCTACCCTTTAGTTGAAGCTGTAACTGAGCAGGATGATGCTTCCTAGAAAAAACAACCAACTCAGTTTTCTCCGGAGAGAATTCGATACCCAGCTTCATAGCCCAAGTAGACAAATTGTCTAAGGTATCTTGCAATGGTCCTTGCAGGTCCGGTGCACTTGGCCCTATAACGGACACAACGCCGTCATCTGCAAGCTGCCTTAGCGAGCAATTTTCATCAAGACAACCATCAATGTCTTTTACATAAAAATTATAAAAGAAGGGGGCTTAAACATGAGCCCTGGGGGAGACCCATGTAACTAATTCGTGAAGTTGTCGAGTTTCCATGAGAGAAGCTCATATATTTCTCAGACAACAAGTTGCTCAAATAGTTGTTCATAATTGGTGAAAGCCCACTATCATCATAGAGGTAACTCTAAGACTAGTAGGTCCCGAAGAAACGAGCTCTACTTTTTGGCTCAGCTCTGGTACTATCTTCGGTCCCAAGCTAATCGATTCACCCCTCGAAACATAGGAATGTCCACTAACCCCTCATTTTAAACATCTGTCAAATTTTCATAGTGAATCAAAACAAACATTGTGTAGATACGTTAATCGATTTGCTTGGGACCAATAGGCTACTAAAGTGGTGAGCCAATTTAAAATCGTTAGTTTCGTATTGATTGTTGCTACTACTGGATTGTACCACATGGCAACACTACTACCAACAATCAATACGAAACTAACGATTTTAAATTGGCTCACCACTTTAGTAGCCTATTGGTCCCAAGCAAACGATTAACGTACCCTATTCTAGTTGAAATTCTATTACTACACTATGTTTGTTTTGATTCGCTATGAAAGTTTGACAGATAACATCAGGGGTGTGTGGATTCATGCAGAACATGCAGGGGTGAGTGAAATAGCTTGGGACTGCTTGGGACCGTTGTTCTGGTACTGAGTGAGCCAAAAATAATAATGATTTTCTTCGGGACCCAGTGGTCTTAGAGTTACCTCTATGCTACTACCATAGAGGTAACTCTAAGACCACTGGGTCCCGAAGAAAATCATTATTATTTTTGGCTCACTCAGTAAAAATCAGTCGATTTTTTCTTGGGTGGATTTTCTCGATAATTTTTCAGACTGCAGTGAGATGTAAACAGCATTTCTGCAATGTTCACGAGCAACATCCTTGCAACGCGCTGTTCCTCGACAATTTTCAAGTTAAAATTCAGAAACTTTAGAAATTTTTTTTTCGAAAAAACGACTAAGTGCTTGTAAACAGTACCACCAACAATCAATACGAAACTAACGATTTTAAATTGGCTCACCACTTTAGTAGCCTATTGGTCCCAAGCAAACGATTAACGTACCCTATTCTAGTTGAAATTCTATTACTACACTATGTTTGTTTTGATTCGCTATGAAAGTTTGACAGATAACATCAGGGGTGTGTGGATTCATGCAGAACATGCAGGGGTGAGTGAAATAGCTTGGGACTGCTTGGGACCGTTGTTCTGGTACTGAGTGATCAAAAAATAATAATGATTTTCTTCGGGACCCAGTGGTCTTAGAGTTACCTCTATGGTACCACCATAGAGGTAACTCTAAGACTAGAAGCTCCCGAAATAACGTTCTCTACTTTTTGGCTCAGCTCTGGTACTCTCTTCGGTCCCAAGCTAATCGATTCACCCCTCGAAACATAGGAAAAACCAATAACCCCTCATTTTATCTGTCAAACTTTCATAGCAAATCAAAACAAACAGTGCGTAGTACTAGAATTTCGACTAGAATGGGATACGTTAATCGTTTGCTTGGGACCAATAGGCTAGTCAAGTAGTGAGCCAATTTAAAATCGTTAGTTTCGTATTAGGTTTTGCACCGTCGGGGTTAACCTCAATCTGATGACAGTTCAGTGGTACTGTTTACGGGGACTTAGCCGATTTTTTCTTGGGTGGATTTTCTCGATAATTTTTCAGGCTGCAGTGAGATGTAAACCACATTTCTGCAATGTTCACGAGCAACATCCTTGCAATGCGCTGTTCCTCGACAATTTTCAAGTTAAAATTCGGAAATTTTAGAATTTTTTTTTTTCGAAAAAACGACTAAGTGCTTGTAAACAGTACCACTGAACTGTCAAAAAGGTTCAGCCGATTAACACTGAGTTCATTCGTGACGTCACGCTGCAGAACCTAATTGATTGTTGGTACCACTGAACTGTCAAAAAGGTTCAGCCGTTTAACACTGAGTTCATTTGTGACGTCACGCTGCAGAACCTAATTGACGAGTGCACGGATGGATTTGAGTTCACTCACTCGACAAAAAGTGACACAACAGCGGGGCCCTGTTTACTATAAATGAACACATGAATAATGCTCGCGTAACTTTTGAAAAGGGCCTATCAACTTTTGTAAACAACTTCCTAGGTTCTTTTCACGAGAACCGAAGTACGCCCACGCAAACCAAGAGCACTATCGGGAAGGGGAGAATATCCTCTGCCCTATGGTGTTGTTAGTTTGCGTGAGCGTATTCGGTTCGCGCGAAAAAGGCTTAACAAGTTTTGTGTACATAAGTTGATAGACCCGGTTCAAATGTTACGTGAGTATTATTCATGTGTTCATTTTTAGTAAACAGGGCCCTACTGTTGTGTCACTTTTTATCGAGTGAGTGAACTCAAATCTATGCACTCGTCTATGTAGGCTAAGTGAAAAATAGTATGATACAAGATGATTCAATATATAGTTCTTCGTCGTGAGATGCCAACCCAACCACAAAATCGTCATATCTTATTGGAAGAACACCTCGCGTAGAACGCAGTGCTCTTCTCTGCATTTGTTGTCCGGATTCGTGAATATTTTCATCATCGAGACCAAAAAAATCACTCTCGTTATCAGCGTCTTCGTAAATTGATTCTTCTTCTACTTCCTCTTGAGGCTCTTCAACCGCCTCTTCACTTTCGTTCGGGACCAGGATCACTACACTTTCATCTTCTTCACACACCTCAGCTGGGACTTCTCGGTTCTCCCGATCTGCGACTTCCTGCTCTAAGCCGTTACCAAGCTCGATGAACCGCGCGTCGCGGCTAATGGTGATCCGGCCAGTCTCGCGATCCAGGAACCTCCAACCTTTATGATGATCTGAGTAGCCGACAAACAGAAGTTTCTTCGCTTTGGGATCAAATTTCTTACGCTTGCAATCTGGAACATGGACAT